GCAATCGACACGAGCAAGCAGCGGCGACCTTGGTAGATGCAGGGCCCGGGGAGGACACCCCAGTTGGGGGGGGAAGCAGTGCCAAGTGTAAATAAGCCAGACACTGGGTCCCAGAGGAACGCTGCAAGGGGGGAAACCTGACGCAGCCTCGGTACAGACAGCGTATTGCTAGTGACGAAGGAAAGTAGTAGTGACGTCGAGGTCCTGAAGACAGCCGACACTCCTGGAGAACGAAGGGATATGCAGGCTTGTAAGGGAACCCGAAGGGACCGCTGGACAGGGAAGGGTAGTGTAGCTGTGAGCAACGACAGGACCAGAAGAGGGGTTAGCAATTGCGACAGCGGTAGGCACAGCGAGCGGCATGAGGGTGGCGTGGTCGCAAAAGAAGCAGGCAGACGCACCAGACTCGAGCGTAATGGACAGCGAAGTAGTAGCGGTGGACGACGGAGGAGCAAGTGTAGAGTCTAGGCTAGACAAGGCAAACGGTCCTACGCCTGACGCAGCAGGGTTTTCTGTACTACACACAGGTGCTACGCCTAAGCTAGAGAACACAGGGTAATAAGATCCAAACACACTAGAAGCGTCAGCATACAGAGAATGCAGGGTAGAAGTAATCTGATCCATGTCTAAGTCAAACACAGGTACACCATGACGCAGCAGGCTGGGCTAGTCGGAGAGGTCCGGGGCCGGGCTGAAGCGGCGACGGAAGAGGTCGTCGAGGCGGCAGAAGCAGTTGGCGGTCGGGTGTGGGTGGTGGCACACAGTGCCATGAAGGGGGCCGGTCTGGAGCTGATAGTGGCAGCTCACAGCACCGAAGCCGCCGGTAGACGTCGAGCTGCAGGGGCCGCCACCGCGGCCACCACCTCCAGGTGCTCCTGGCCACCCCGGCGGGAGGCGGGCCCATGACTGCTGCTGCTGCGGCGGCTGCTGCTGCTGCTCCTGCTGCTCCTAGACACCAGCCCCAACCCCCTCGTTATAACCACTATCCCCTCCACCACCATGACCACCAGCAGCGCCACCACTACGCCCTCCCTTGGGGCCGCAAAGTCCCCAACGCTGTTCCTGCTGCGGGAAGGCCACAGCAGCAGCCTTAGTGGCAGGGGCAGCCGTAGCGACCGCAGTGGAAACATCAGCGTACGTGCACTGGGAGGGGGCACAGCCCTGAAAGATAGGGACTGGCGCAACACCGCTCGACTGAGCAATAGTGCGCTGGCGAGTCTCTATCTCAGACAGGGCAGTGACAAAGGCAGTCACGGTGAGGTCGCATGGGTGCTGGCTAAGGAAGTGGTCTCGGGCAGTGGCCAAGCGGTCAGGCAAGCGCATGGGAATAAGATACAGGGTAGCGCTGAATGGTGGGAACTGGGCGGCAGTGCTAGCAGCGCGGTAGCTAGTCTCTAGTGCACGGAGGTGAGTAGTGAGATCAGCAACAGTGGGGAAAGCAAAAAGGTCAGGGAATAGCATGGGGAGGATCAAGCAGCCAGCGGAAGCGGAGGTGGGTGTGGAGTAGAGCGCAACTGCTGCATCTAGGAAGTCTTTGGCATTCGCTACAGCAATGAAGCGGGGGCGCTCAGACAGGGGAAGCGCATGGCTAATGGCAAGCTGCGCTACAGCATCGCGAGAATCCCAGACAGCGCGAGCGAGTGCAACAGTAGCAAAGGCCTCACTCTCAGCAGTGGTGGGGTCAGCAGGTAGGGGATCAGGCACAGGAGGGCGGGGAAGCAAGCCATCAATATGCATAGCCAGGGAGTGCCCATCCTGGCGCTGGCCTGTCAAGTGCCGACGGAGATCGACAAGCCAGGCGGCGTAGTCGATCGCGTGTCCCCCCGTGTCCAGGCAAAGTATGGCATCCGCCATCGTGCAACCTCAGCGGCACAGGGACACGGTTGTACAGCGGAACAGGGACACACCTGCAGAGGGACACGGCGACACAGCAGCACAAGTACTCAGCGGCACGGCGGTACAGCGGCATGGCGGCAGGACTCTCCCGCGAGGAGACCGAGTGGAAGGCCGAGAAGGGCCCAAGGCGCACAGGGCCCGAGGCGTGCAGAGCCCGCAAGGCGCAAGGGGCCGGCGGAATGCTGGGGCCCAGAGGCGCGGGAGGGCCGGTGGGCGCACAAGGGGCTGACGAGGCACGCGAGAGGCCGGGCAAGTGCGGGAGGGGCCGGCGCGTATGTGAGGAGCGGGCTAGGTGCGAGTGGTTGGTGATGCGCGGGAGGGGCCAATGATGCGCAAGGGAGCATCACGGCGCGCGTGGGGCGAGAGGGGCTGGCTAGGTGAGAGGGGCTGGCTAGGCGCGAGGGGCCGGCTAGGCGAGAGGGGCGGGCTAGGCGCGAGGGGCCGGCTAGGCGAGTGGGGCGAGTTAGGCACGAGGGGCCGGCTACGAGAGAGGGGCCGGCTAGGCGCGAGGGGCCGACTCGGCGAGGGGGGGGGTGGGGGGGGGGGGACAGTGGAGCGTCACACACCGTATGCGACAAGGCAGCAATCGACCGACTTCGGGAAGAGTACAAGTCTTCAGCATTCTCTCCAACGATGGTGGATGGCAGCAAGTTACTAGTGTACGGCGAAGCAGTGTTACACAAAAAATCGGACCACCGCGCTCGAAACCTGCACTCCCCATCACCAACATAAAAGGGCTTGACTTGATCTTCGTGCAAGACTTCCTAAAAAAATTCAACCACGTGTTCAACTGGGTAAATCATACCGCAAGCATCTACAACAATGGATGGAGAGTCCAGCTACCCAACTGGGACGATACAGGAGATATCCCAATGGAGACACTCGCTAGGTTCGAAGAAGGACGTCAAACAAACCAAAACGAGATTCCTAACGATAGCAACGGATGTGGAAGATGATGGAGAGAAAGCCTCGGAACCTCGTGAATAAATCATGGAATTTCTGAAGGAGTTCCAAGATAAATCCTCTACTCAAGGGACTCTTCACACACGGGTACACCATTGACCTCGTGCGACACATGTCAGCGGATGAAGAACAACAAGCAGAAAAAGGCAGGATTGCTACAGCCGCTTCCTGTCCCAGAATAGCCATGGCAAGTGGTTAGCCTGGACTTCATAACCAGGTTACCAACTACCACTAATGGTGATGCAATCCTCCTATCATTTACAGACAGATGGACAGACCAAGTGTCTCAACCGAATTGTAGAGCAACTCCTTCGCGCAGCATGCAAACACGAAATCTCTAAGTGGGACTTGCATCTCCCCGTCCTGGAGTTTGCCTACAACAACGCCGCTCAAGCCGCTACTGGACAAACACCGTTCTTCCTCGGTTACGGACGGAACCTGCTCATGCCACAAAAACCAACAGCATCAGCCACAGTCCAACCCGCACACAAATTCATTACGACCATGCATGAACTTTGGGATTGGACCCACAAGCGCCTTCTCGACATTCAACAGCAACAGAACCGCCAGGCCGATCGCCACCGCACCGACCACACCATCACCGTGGGAGACCAGGTTCTACACAACTCCCGCAATCTCGTCATCAGTCATCTCCCATCCAAACTTCGACCCCGCTTCTGCGGACCCTTCCTCGTTGAAGTAGAGGTCACTCCTGTTACCTTCCGCTTACGCCTGCCAGCTACCTGGAAGATTCACAACGCCTTCCATGTCCAACTTCTGAAGCCCTGCTGCGATCACAACACGGTCTTTACTGGACGCCAACCGCCGCCGCCGCCGTCGCGCGTCCTCGTCCATGACGATCCCGAATACGAGGTAGAGTCCATGCTTGCACACCACCGTCGTCGGAATGGCACCATGAAGCTTCTCCTCCGTTGGAAAGGTTATGATCCTTCTGAGGCTAGCTGGGTCCCTGGATCTGAGATGGGTAACGCTCGTCATCCTCTTCACGACTACCTTGTCAAGCAGGTTGTTACTTCTACCACCCAGCTTTGAGAGGGGGAAGTGTGAGTGCGACCCCGTTACACTTCTTTCTCATTTCCATAGTTCTCCTCTATCCCATTCTTCTTTTTATCTTGATTCATCTGGTCTTCATCTCATCTCATTTGGGTTCCTATTCCTCCTTTCTCATTACCCTTTGGTATAAACCTAGTATTATAATTATATCACCGACCAGGCTCGGGATGTATCGGCGCGCTATATCTAGTGTAATCCTGCCGTAATTCCTTAAAGCCAATAGCCTCGCGTGGCTATACGCCGGGTGATTCTATTTCTAGAAGGGTCTATTCCCTTTGGATAGGATAAACCTGGTTACGTGATGGACCTTGGAAGTATAAAAGCGCCTTGTATCAATTGATAGTGCAACTTTTCCTCCACCCATTCGATCTTGTGACAGTTGCGGCCATAGTGATAGTCGCGTTCGTTGCCAAACGCCATGCAGACACTGCACTTCATGCAGGGGCTTTTGTGTGATGTCATCATATGCTATCACATTCTGTCTGCCTCCCATTCCATGTTTTCAATTGCATGTATGGTTTGAACGTGTGCAAGAATTTGTGTGTGGTGTGTTCTGGAGTTTGGGAATGTATTTTATGTTATTTTTGTTTGAGCAGGTATTTTTTATGATAGATCTTGAGAAGATCTTTCCGACGCAACAAGAATCCCTTCAATCGGAGGAAGAACGTGAAAGCTATGAAGATTCAAAGTTCATGAGCTTGCGTTACGATTGCGGCGGTTACAAAGTGAAGTTGTGGGGTGACTCACTATGGAGTTGGGACCTTTGAGGGTTGAGGAAATTTGTCACTCTACTGTAGCAGCTGCAAATTGGTTGGAAACAACCAAACTAAGTTGGTAAGGGTGGCCAACTTGGATGGATTGGTTGGGAAGGAACAAAGGTCAAAGTTGGGGTTCCTATAGGGAGGGAACTTTATGCTTATGGGGTTTCCTTGGTTAGGGAATCTCTTGGGACCTTCCCTCTCATCCCTCTCTTCCCTTCCAACCTTTTTCTTGCTCCTCTAATTCCTTGTGAGATTCTTGAACCTTGATTGAAGTTTGAGATTGAGTTTAGTTCCTCTCCTACAGCTTACCCCTCCATGCGTCGAAAGGCATAGTGTCGCGAATACTCCATCAACCAAAGTGATTCGAATTGGGAACGGTATCTAAGATTACGAGCTACAACATATCCAAGTTTTGCAACATTCCAACGACTATTTTGTCGTCGACGATGTTTCTTGTGGAGACGACTTTTCTGTCCAGAATTTCGGATTTCTATTTGAGTAATTCTAGCTCCTAAGTTCACCTAGACTCCGTCCTTAATCACTAACAGGGGCAGCCCTCCTTCATCTTGGAAGTCAACCATGGAAAGTGACGTAACCATTGCTCCCTCGCTTTGAGTTGGAGCTCTTCCACCATCAGGACAAATGGCCCGTCGTCGTCGGACGGCGGGGAGCTGGGACCAGGATCGCCGCTGTTGCTGCCGAGCTAGATAGGAGTAGCCGCAGTGGAGGTGCAGGCATGCCGACCGAAGCTGAGTTACGCTAGATGTACTTCTCCTTGCTAGGCTTGCAGGCGGGCAAGATGGGCACTCCAGAGACGCGTGGTGGAAGGACAGTGGAGACGGTTTGCCTTGCAGGTGACGACGGACGGGAAGGCCTAGTAGCAGAGTTGAGATCGAAGCCTTCAGCACCAAAGATTTATCCATGGCTCCATGTACAATGGAGGCAGTGGGCTCAGAGGAGCCACTGTAGGGGAGGGACTAAGCACGGACGAGCGGGTGGCAGGAGATGGGCTACGCGATCGTGCATGCGCCGCGGGAGGTGGACTAGCCGCGGGAGAGCGTGCCGAGGGTGGAGAACTCGGCGCCTGCTTATTACTCGTATGAGGACTAGCCTCTAGACGACTAGTCGTTTGTCGAGTCGCGGAAGGAGGCGGTGAAGGTTCGACAGGCGGAGTAGGCTCGATGGGCATACGCATCTGATGCGGCTCAATGCTAATGGGAGGCGGCGCGGGTCGGGATCGAAGCAGGTCTAGCCTCGTAACCGTCGATGGTGCGGCATCTTTAGGAGGGGTAGCATTAACCTCCTCTAAGGCCATGAGATGAGACACGCGATATGAGCAGGAACTGGGTGGGAGAGCCAGCCAAGAATGAAGCACTAGGACGAGGGGAGGACAAGGACACTGCAGAGAGCACTCATGGCTGCGGGGAGTGGTTCTCTGAGACATGGTAGTCTGAGGTTGGGGGCTTCTGTGGGCTGATTATACACCATGGTGGCTCGACAAAGAGTGGCTTGGGGTTGCATATTCATTACGAAACCCTCAAGACGAGGGTGGCTTGCGGTTTCATCGGGAAATGCGCTGGCACATTGCTGCCCAGCGCTGCTTGCCTGGAACCTGGGTGGCAGCGACGGTGCTCGTAACAAGACAGTGGCGTGGCAGCAGCTTGCATCAGGAAGCTGTAAATTTATGTGCGCTGGACTGTTTTGCTGCTTTAATCCGTGTAGAATTGAATGCGCGTGCTGCGGTGGACATGGGACAGGGTGAGAGGCAGTGGCCCAGTGGGCATGTGGACTAGTGACCCTGCTGCTAGAAGGGCGGATTTGTCAGTATCAGAGGGAAAAAAAAACTGACGGACTGATAAATCAGATGAATGTGTACACCTAGTATGATGTTTCAGACGAATCTGTATAACTTGTCTGAACGATCAGACGAATACATTCGGCTCGTAAAAAAATCAGATGAAACATAAAAAACCGGTCTGATTTTCAAACCATCAGACCGATTTGGTCTGATAGCGGAAGCCCTGGCCAGAAGGCTAGTCAGCAAGAGTATCACGACAAACTGGTAAAACTCAGCGTATACAGCTAAGGATACCGTAAATCCCCGGGACGTAAAATGTGCCGGAATAGAGCACCCACTGGTGTTCTATTGAAGAATCCGCAATCATGCACCCACTTTTTGAGGGTTCAAGGAGAGCACCCCCCCCCTGCCATTTTAGCACTTTTATGCCTTGCAATAAGCGCAGAAAAAGTTACCAAGCTGAGCACTTCCAGGAGGCGAATTTTGAATTTATCAAGGGGGCTGGCAAGTTGCCCAGATGTCAAAGTGACAGAGGCTGACGTTTTACACCCGGAAAAGCGTCGTCATGCATACTTGCCCACTTGCCCAACAGTGTACATTGTGCACGAGACTTGTGCAACAACTTGTGTGAGGATCGCCATTTTCGTTCAGCCACTTACACGCGTCTGTTAAAATAGCGCAATAAAAAGTGGCACAGTTTTTAACAGTGGCACAAGAGTAAACTGTTCTTGTTCAAACCGGCAGTTTTGTGGATGATTGTTTTTTGTGATGAACCCCGTAGTCCAGGAGGCTCGGTGTGATTAAAATGATTGCTTGGATTTAAGCGATTTTCGAGCCAACTCTCGCAACTACTTCACACCATCCGCATTCCGGAATATCGGCCTACCGATCAGGGCCAAAGTGTTTCGGCGAATGTTGTCAAACCATTCTCAAAGTGTTCGCATCTAAGTTCTTTTTGTGTTTGCACCCTTGTATTTGCAGAACGTTAACCAAGCATTCGTTTTCTCACTACGTTCTGCGAGCATACATTTTTTACGATGTGGAGGGCTTGCCCACTGGTTGTTGAGACAGCAGGAGAGCCTCTGACAGTGGCTGTGGCAGTGGCACTGGCAGGTGCGATGAACGTAAGGGAGTGTGTGCTTGCTACACGCACTGACGAACACTCAGCTGCTGTTGATGCCTGTGCGCCTGATCAAATCCCTCCCCCATTCCTCCCTGCTCCAGCGCCCACTCTGTCACGGCTGTGCCAGCAGCCGGGGTTGCAAGCGCCCATCCTTGGTGCTCACTCACCAAGGGCGGGAGGGAAAGTGCGCAAGGGGCCAGGGAGGATGGCAGGGGAGCCGTGACCGCATTGGGGGTGGCCAAGGAACTAGGCAGCCCAACTCTGGTCCACAAAATCTTGTGCTGCGTCCAATGCAGCTGTTGATCTTCTCAGAAACAGAACCAGCCACAGAAGTCAGTTGGGAGGGTAGCGGCGATGAGAGCGCTGCACGCAGTTGGGCAGGCAGAGGCACTGACAGTGCAGTGCGTTGGTGGAAGGCAGGGTCCTCACTGCTAAATCCCAGCAGCACGTCCTCTGGAAGGCGCTCTCTGAACTCACGTGACCCCACATCACCCTCGTCTTTCGCTCTGGCTGCCGATGGTTCTCCAGAAGTAGGTCATCCAGAAGGGCTCCCTCTGACCCCATGCAAGGCCACACCACCTACTGCTGCCTGCTCCTCTCCCCTCCCTGCAGCACACAATGGATATCCAGCGACTGTGAATGCCACATCATGCAAAGGGGCAACCCATTGTCGACTCCACCCGGCAGCAGTTGTCCGAGCAGTTGCTCGGTGCAGTCCTCTCTGGGCCACTTCAAGGGCAGGGTGAAGGTTGCAGGGGTAGAGCAGATGGAAGTAGTTATCACAAAATGGAATATAGCAGTAGCTCTGGCGACAGCAGCGGCAGCACAGCGACCAGCTGCATGGGATGCAGAAGCAGGGCTAAGGGCAGCAGCATTGGGAGGGGCAGGAGGTATGAAGATAGCAGCATTGGGGGGAGCAGCAGGGATCAGACACCAGCATCGGGGGGGGGGGGGGCACAGGGATGAGATACCAGCATCGGAGGGAGCAGCAGGGATGAGACACCAGCATCGGGGGGAGCAGCAGGGATGAGACAGCAGCATTGGGGGGAGCAGCAGGGTTGAGACAGCACCATCAGGGGGAGCAGCAGGGATGAGACACCAGCATTGGGGGGAGCAGCAGGGATGAAGACAGCATCATCGGAGGGAGCAGCAGGGATGAAGGCACACCTGAGGTCGGCTAGGGCTGTTGCTTGGGCTAAAGGGCGGTGGGTATTGGGTGAGATGAATTTGTTCCTGCATTCATCAAATGACAGCCCACCACGAGTAAGAGCAGGTGATGTTGACCCGGGTGAGCCCACGCTAGCCTGCTGCTGATGAAACTGATAATGCTGGTGTTGCTGCTGCTGCTGCTGATGCTGGAGGGCATGGCTCAGCAGCTTGCTCTGTTCCATGGGCCATGCAGTGGGCATCCACTGCATTGAACATGCGCCATCCATAGGTGCTGCTGAAGGCATTGACTGAACCGCCTGCAGAAAAGAAGGGCACATAGTAATTGCCGGAATATACGTGCAGATTCTTGCCGTTTTTTGTCCAAAAAAAAAACCCTGTCCTTAAATCTAGCTTCTAGCCTTACTGGTGCTATTCTAACAAAATATAGCCTCGAGTAAAGCATGGTGGTGGGGAATTCACATCTCTTGATCACGATGACACTGCTGCTATTGGAACTTTCGAGGAATACACCTTGATGTCGGGCTAGTGAGAATTAGATTGTTAGTTGGAAAATAACCACGGCTTAAGATGATGTGTCCGATGTATGGAAACTGGCATGGGGGAAACGAGTATTGGAGTGCTCCAAAGGTTTACAAGCCTTGAAGGTGACTTAGGAATTCTTACTTGGACTCCGAGCCATTTGAAGCCTGTTGTTTCTTGGTCAATATTTGCTGCACTTCGTCGTTGTCTCCCAGACGGTGAACTGAGGGAGCATGGTGATTATGTAGCATTCTTGCTCACCTAGTACAAAGGTTCAGTTCATCACAATGCAGCTGGGGTCAAAGGTTCCATTTCACATCGCACATTTCACAAAAGTTCCGTTCATCACAATGCAGCTGGGGTAAGAGGTTCCATTTCACATCGCACATTTCACAAAGGTTCCGTTACATGTCAAAGGTTCCGTTCATCACAATGCTGTAGCAGTTGCCTGTTATAGGAGAAGAAACTTGGTAGGCATTGCATTTCATGGCGTGTAGATACGAGGACTAGTCGAAAAGAGGGAATGCAATCGGCTATACTCCAGCACCATTCTCCTGGACATACCGAAATGAAAGCTATGTCTTAAAAGTTTCAAGCCACTGTCAAACGCGTATCAAGCCACTTGCGATTATCAGGAGCGGTCGCAAAGGCTCCCCCAAGCTCACTTCCCTACAGCTCACTTCCCCACAGCTCACTTCCCCCAAGGTCAATTCCCCTTGGCTCACTTCCCTTAAGCTCACTTCCCCCTGGATCACTTCCCCAAAGCTCTTTTCCCCCAGGCTCACTTCACCGATGTTCACTCCCCCCCTGCTTACTTCCCACAAGCTCCATTCCCTCCAGCTCACCTCCTCCAAGCTCACTCTCCCCTGGCTCACTCCCCCCAGCTCACTTCCCCCAAGCTCACTTCCCCCCAGCTCACTTCCCCCAAGCTCATTTCCCTCCAGCTCATGCATGAAACACGAACCGGGTTTCATCGGAATAGTAAGCATGGCATGGGCCAATCTGGGAATCCCCACGAGTGTTCAGGGTTTGGGGTTATTGTTCTCAAAGGAACATCCCAGTTTTAAATTTATCCTGATTTTGTCACCCTACAGTCTCAATTGCAGATCTCACTTGCTCTTATCCCCCTCCGTACAATTGTCCCACCTACCATGTACCCTATATAAATTTCTTTGGCACTGAAACTCTGGCTCGGCATGTCCAACATTTTGAGTTGTTGGAAGGATTTGATCAGCTATTAATCCAGCTAGACAAATGGTCCATTTCTATGTGTCTGTTTCAACTTTCTTCATTTGAACGTCATTCAGCCAGCTCCCACAGTGCTTGTGCGAGAAGTACGTAACCAAGTATTAGACGTAAAAAGAAAGAACAAGCACTCAAATCTCAGGAGTCACTGTGAATTTTCTAGCTGAGTGTCCCGTTTGGCCAGGAAGATCAGCTGCCAACTTGCCAAGCCCCGTTTTGCCCTTCTGGAGTGGGGTCGGACTGGTTGCTATCAATGAACTGGTTGTATCATACATGCGAACTAAAGTGCGCGGTAACTGTGGTAGAGTGTAATATTTATATGAATGCATGCTTACAAAACCTAGTAGCAACTTGATAATGATGGCCATCACTTTTCTACAAAATCAATATGAATATGGCTAAATCCAAGAAACCCACTCACCCTTTTTCTGAGCATTTTGATCTATTGAGCAATGCAACATGCTGCTAGCAAAGATCAGTGCAGCCTCATGGTCCTGGCTGAAATGACCCCGATGATTTAGAAGGAACATATGCTGAGATGGTGGCATCCCACGATGTCGCACAAGTGCATTGAGATGCTACCTGTTTCATGCAAATGTTCCATTTATCCGAATTCCAAGAATAATCAAAGACGGCGTCTGCTGAAGCTTGATCGCGTCCCAAAGCCCTATTCATGCTTGGCAAAAGAGCAATATGGTTTGTGAGAGCTTGGTACACGCATTGTGGGAGAACATGCTTTGGCGTTGTTAGCAAATCCCGACTGAAAAGAGTCAAGAGATAGCAAAAGAGCCCGTGA